GACTTTTATAAAATAAATAACGACATTTTTTAAAATAAATTCATAATAAAAAATTTGAAACTGTTCATTACGACCAGGTTTAATATTAAATTCACTGCATGTACCCTATTTTAAACTCACGCAATGTCAAAGGCAAGAGATGAAATTAGTTTTCATTCTTTTGTTCTCCTTAAATGAAAAGTACCTATCGTTCTGGCTGCTTTAGTGCACACTTCAACACGAAAGGATTCTTAAAAGGCATAAGAAGAAATTTCGGAAAATACATGGACGTTTCTAAAAAAGGGTCGTAATAATACGGTCTCTTTAAATGGAGAGTATCATCGTGAATGCTTGTAGTGCATACTTCGGCACAAAAGGATTTTTAAAAAGCGTAAGAAGAAATTTCGAAAAATACACGGACATTTATAAAGTGCCGTAATAATATCGTGCAGTAACACAAGAAAGGGCTGAATTACCTAACAGCGGATCTTGTCTGAAAAGTTCGACCAGAATTTTCTGAAAGTCTGCTAAAGAGGGTCGAAGTGACGCTCGGTCCGAAGAGGAATTCGCTGGTTTCGGGGAAATTCCGTGTCGGCGGTGCATCGTGTTTTTCCAAGGCGTTGTAATTGATTACAATGTTTAGCCGGCAAACCGCGGGGGTTGGCGCGGGTGTGTATTATCGGGGCTGGCGGGATCGCGTGGTAGGGGGTGGGACAAGGCGCACACGTGTACCGGTGGCCTGTGCAGGATGCTCGGGTGCGACGTGCGCGAAAGAGAAAAATTTCGGTGGCCCAGATGCGGCCGTTCGATCGAACTTTAACGTCGTTTGCAAGCGGGTTCCCTGGCCGCTTCGCCGCATTCTCACGTTCCATTGCGAAACTGTCGAAACTGTCGAATCGCGGACAAAGGGCGTATAATGCGAAAGTTAGAAACAGAGAGACGCGGACGGTGCATGCGCAAAGAGGATGTGCAACGCTCGCGCGATACGGCATAGCGGAAGTTCTTCGACCGTATAATATTCCACGTGCGAGTTGTCACTTCGCGACCGCATTTCAGTGACTAATGAGCGCTTTTGAAAGCACATTAGGTACTGTCAGATACACGCCACGCTATATGTAGTCGCCGCGAGGAGCGGGGGCGGGCGATTCTGGATACATGCGCGTATACGGCTCGCGAAGAGCCAACACTCCATGTGCAGACTTATTATGTCTCCCGCGCCGATATACTATAAGCGTGTGCGCGTTGCAGAAAAAGGAAGCAACAGCGTGCCCGTGTGTTTTGCGTGTGCGCCGAGGTTTGCTCTCCAACTGAATTGTATAATACAGGGACCGGGTGATACAATTCCACAGCGGCGCGCGAATATCGATGCCGGGAACAAGCAACGGTTCAATTTCGGTCGTGTGGACAAGAAGAATGCGACGCATTTGTCGCGAGTACACCTTGCATAGGGGTTAACAAAACGAGATGTCGAGGTGCGTGCCAGCGCCCCAATTGCATCACTGACTTACAGCTACCGTGGATGCCGTCGAAAGTCAAACGGAGACTTTATTAGTCACTTCGAGAAGATCTCGTTTCAGGGTTTCACACGAATTCTAAACATTTGATTGAGTTTCTCACTTACGAGTGGCAGGTTCGTTCTACGGTAAAGTTTTAGCCAGAGATTGAAAAGGGTCCGAAAATAACTGTTCCAAACTGTTACGACTGAAACAGTTACGAAGAACATATTATAACTGATATACATATATCTTATAACTGATTATTGTCTCTCTAACTTTTGTAATTTGAAGGAATAAAATCCTCAAAATCCTTATTAATAGTTTCGAAAATATTAAAGGTTCTTTAACTAGTGATTTTGTCAAACTTCATTGACTTTTCCCTGCTAAAATATCTTCACTGATTTTTACTCGCACGAAGTGTGTTAATAATTGTTAATTTTTGGTTCTGAGGTCCAGTTATACATATAGTTCTGCTATACGTAATAAATACAATTGTATGTACTTTATTTATTTAAAGTATGGATACCTTTATATAAATTTGTATCACTTACAAGAAGTAATGCTACGGTCACGAGATAGTTTTTAACAGTTATACAGAGTGGGCCGAAATTTATAGTACAAGCGAGCAGGGGATGATTCTATGTGAAAAGAATTAAAAAAAATTTGCCCTTACCCCCCTCTGCCGAAATGACTGCACCTTCTGAAAAACGGACATTAGATCGCAACTTACAATTTGTAAACACTATCTCGGTGCGGTAAAAAATAGATGACATCTTTGCAAAAATGAACAAACTTTAAAGTCGATTTTCTCGAAAACTGTATCTCGGATAAAAGAATTATAGCACATTTTTTTCTCACTTTTTCACATAGAATCATCCCCTTCTCGGTTGTACTACGAATTCGGGCCCAGTTATATCAGTTATATAGGGCCTATACTGAAATCGATATAAGCCAGAATAGATACATATAATAATTATTTTCAACCCTCAATTTTAACTAACTCGTTTAACGATTTCACCGAGTGTGATCTAATAGCTTAACGTTCCCGCGTTAATCTTCAGAGGCTGCGACCTCCCTAAAATTTTTTAAAACCAGCTTAAAAAATAGCCGAAAAACTTGGTTCTTGATTATGGTCTGTGAAACTGTGTAAAAAAAAATACGTGACATGCTGCTTCAACTTCGTACAATATTTCCATCAGCAATATACGAACGATTCCCTCTAAAACAAATACACGCCGAGTACTTATTCCAGCTTTTATCGTTCAGATCGATTTAAATGCATCGCCGTATTTAAACAAGAATGTTAACGACCGTGTACAATCCCGTAAAGTATGGCTACACTGGCAACCGTCGCCCGTAGAATAATTTCATTTTGACGGGTTCCGATATCGCTGAAAGAACCGAAGGTACGCGAGTGTTCGAGTTCGAGGAAGCATCCTCTCCAAGGGTTCTTTACCTTGCGCATTAATGTAAGTAGAGGTAATCAGCGCCACGGCACCGTCGAGAAGGTGTTAGTATCGAAGTTAAATACTTGAACGTACATGTGCAAATGCGCAAGCTGGCGCAGCAGACGCAACAGTTAACAAGGCGTCTTGTTTGGTAGCTGCGAACGGTAGAAATCGCAACGTCAACCGTACGGAATTGATTTTTCCTACAAATAAAACTGTTGTGTTGTGTGTCAACTAGCAATCAGATGCCGAATGACGGGGAGGTGCCGATTGTTGAGCGTACAGAGCCGGCGTTGTTAATAGCGAGCCAAACAACGGGGTCCGACTGAATATGTTTTCATACGTCGTATGTAATCGTCAGATCGTTATTGTGATAGTTGCGAACGGTCCATTGATGCGCTCCATTCCAATGTAGATTGTTTAATGGATTCGCGTCGGTTCTACGTGTCGCTGTGAATAGGTTTTTATCGGCAAAATTACGGAAACGGCAAACAATCGGTCAATTGTGCGCCGTTAATCAATACGAGTTCAACTAAATCTTGTGGCGACACGATTATTAGGTTAGCGAGAGCGATTTTGAGCTATGGCTTCACGATCGCAGCAAGTTGACCGGATTTAAACACTCGATTATTTACTCGATTGTCGAACTACAGTAAATTCACCCTAATTGACGCTCAGATTGTACACGATTATTCGAGTCTTGCGGCTCGTTTTTATAGTTGTTGACGATCGGTAACTATAAAAAGTAGCCGCAAGGCTCGAACAAAATTGTCCATTTTTATGCACAATCTGAGCGTCAATTAGTAGAATTAACTGTATTTACACTCAATTCTGTTTTCGCACGGTATTTTCGTACACGGTTTCGATTTAACACGATCTAGGAAAATAAATTTAATTTCATTCGATTTAGCACGGTTAAAAAAAAAGATTTAATTGAAATTTTTTGACGGCAATTATTTTCATAAACGGTCATTTTTTAGATATATTTGGTGCAGTACAATCGAAAAAGTTTCCTTTCAGCTTTTTACGCAACACATATTTAATGAAGAAATATATCACGCTTTCGAGAGAATAAGATTCCACATTGAGCGTGTAAACAATAATCGATCGCCTATGTTTCTGTGTACGTACACGATATCCTTTTTTACATGGTATTTTTGTTACACTTTTTTTTTCTCTGGAACGTACCTAAAAACAGAAATGGATAGAATCAGTATTGGTTGTATTTTGTTTAACAAATCTAATTTAACGATGACTCGGTGTCGTGCTTCAACAAATGTATTTCTATGGCGAGTTTTTCATCTGCAAGGTTGATGCTGTACAGCGCAGCACGAACATGTCTTGAAACGTTCATGGTTGTAAAGAATATTCGCCAAGCAGGAAACGAGCAGAGGGAAATGTCGATTTTAGAGGATGACTTATTTAGAATGTTTGTTGTTTGCTTTGAAAACCCGCGGAAAGGGGGAACAAAAGATAAAGTACAGCCTGGTTTGTTTCTTTACTATGAAACAGCCTTTCGCTTCATGGTGAATCGAGACATTCTCGGAACGGGGATGGTGTATTCGGGATTTTTAAGAGAGACGGTTGCGGCGTTCTCAGATCTTTGCAAGTTGCCCAGAAAAATCTTCGAATAACAACCTGTTCTGTGGAAGCGTGTCCTTCGGCCGCAACAAAGAAACTTTTTACCTGCCCCGGCACAATGCCAGGTTGAAAAAGGATTTCGTAAAAATGAGAAACACGCATAGAATGTTTCTAGGTTCCTACGTGTCTCGTATTTCCATTAAACCAAAGGCTTGCTAAATAATTGGATCATGGGAATTTCGAGCGAAACTTTCGACGTGCCTGCACACGAAACCGCGTGCCAGATTAAAAACGCGTTCGCGAAAAATACGACGGGAGGCGTGTCCATTAGAAGCTCATCGAGATAATTCGGCCACTTCGGCGAGCCTCGTGGTGACATCGTTTTCTGTTTTTAATTACTTCCGCGTGAAACGTTACCTGGCGTATGCAATACGATCGAAGGCGGCCTGCGATTCGGTTTGACGGGAGAATGATTAATTAAAAGAGCACACGGCGCTTTAAAAAATACAAGAAGGAAACGTTTAATACATATTTACATGTGCGAACAGTGTATACAACGTTTCTGCTGAAATGAATATTAAGGATACAATAAGAATGCAAGATTATAATTGTGCCACGTGCACAATGGCAAAGTAATTACGTAAACCGGGCGCAAACAATAATCTTATTGGTTTCTTGCGCGGAGAACGACGACGTACACCAACGAAATAAAAGTAAACCCAACGAATATTACTAGAAATTGTACGGTTGCATCATTTCCTGAGATCGCGTCGATACTAGTTCATGGAAACGTTAGACACGCCGTAGAAAAAATTGTCGCTAGCGAATGGTCACCGACGAGAACCGATGAGATTCGCGTCGATTTGAAACTGTATCGATTTAAATCCTGTCTTCGAGTGCAACGCGTACAACTTTACAAAAGACTTATACATTAACAATATCATTCTTTGCGGCGTTATCGTTTCTCTCTACGATAAACAAATGTTAATTACGACGATTCTGTACACAAGTACACCATTACCACATGCAGATTAGAACTGAGAATTACACATCAACGGATTACTTCCTTCTCCATATAGTTTCCAGTGAACGATCAACGAACTTCGCGGAACGAAAGTTCGACAGTTTGCTCGTACGCGAGCAAAGCGAATCGACCAAAACCGAGGGAAATCCGTCGTCGACAGTCACAATGCACTATACGTATTAATACCAGTATCGTGAATGCGTGCAAAGTATCCAAATTAACAAAAGTACGTATCAAAAATATGAAAAGCTATATAAATTGGCATTTCGCGTTTGCTCTATTATTTTCTTTTTGTTTCTTCATTGGCAATCGCGCTGCCACGAATCCACGTACGTGTTATTACGTTTTAGAACCCTTCGGTCTTATCTCTAGACGCCGAGAGATTAACAGTCGCTCGTTATTATTGTGCTGTACGGTGGTGGCGAACTGTTTCAGGTCGAGATACGTAAGCTAGTTAAGCGGAAATACTTTCGTTACGCAAAAAGGTACGGTTCAAGAAAGAGTATTCTATTACAATGTTCAACGTAAGCCGCGGAACACAGTGTACATACCATCGTTCGAATACGACGATGAACACGGGGAAACGATGCGTACAAAGTTTCAATCTCATAACAAGGATCCGGAGATTCGATTCTCGAAAACGAACGGGAAAACTGGACAAAATCTTCTGCTGGTAAATATTCTGTTTGTTTGTCAGAGCGTAATTTCGTAACTTTTTACTATGGTGATGCTGATCGCAGGATTAGGGATCGAACTACGGATTTTACGCGTTCAAGCGACTGACAAAAATTGCTTCGTAAAAATTACAAGATAGAATTTATTCAAATATTTCACAATTTCTATAATAGTTGTAACAGTTGTTTTATAATAGTATGCCTGAGTAGAGAAAAATATATTCAACTATTTTTAATGGAAACAGCTCTATGACTTCAATAATTATGAAATAAAATGCATCAGAAATCGGTCATCTGATCGGCAATGGTAGGGTCAGTGTTAAACATATTCACGAATGCCTAAAATTTTGTGCTCACAGGAGCTTCGAAAAGTGATCGAATACATTTTCTGCTATTCTTCGAGACGTTTGAATTTTTGGCATGTTCTATAAATACATGTCACCAACTTTCCATCCATTGTATCCTGCTAAAGTCTTTGAATAATTTCGAGTCGCCCGATGCTCAACATTGCAATAAGAAAAAATTAATTTCGCAATGTAACGGAGTCGCGATTGAAATCGAAGCAGCGAGAGCTCCGTGGATCTTGAAAGAAAGTTGAACGTGTGTTTTTGCGCTTGTCCGAGTGCTCCGATTGTTTGCACCGTTCATCCGGCTAACTGTGCCGAGTATCGAGTTTATGACTCTTGATGAAACTGAAAGAAAGTACGAGGGAAAGTCAAATTCCCTTGAACTGCAGTCGCGTTTGAGAGGGAGCAAGGACGCGTGGAGACTTCCTCCAGTGCTTCGACATGTAACGCAGATAGGACAAACAGTTTTATTGGAACCGTTCAGTCTGATTCACATTTTTAACGGGCATTTACGAATTTGATTTCTTTGAAAGGGTATTTTCATCCAGGTTTCCTCGAATGGTAAATTGTAGGGAGGAGCTCGAAACTTTGTAGGAACCGGTTCGCTCGGTGTTGTTAACAAACACTGGCAGTGTGACGAACACTGATGATTGCTTAACATGAAACAGTCCATACTGAGCGACCGATTGTTGTGTACGTCACCGTGCAGCGAATACAACGTTCGGCACAATGCGGCACGTCGCTCGATATCGGTACGCTAAACCTAAGAAATCTCGTTACAACGCAATTCACTTGGTATCGCTATTATGTTTATTGTGGTTCGTCGCTTAACGATTAGGTACATCCGCTTCCTATGCATATCAGACTTACGGCGAGCGAGTAGACTCGACATCGCGGTTGCTACATATGATCATTTTCGAAAGCAAATAGCGGCCTCGGGACTCGGTCTACGAGGAAAATCCGGAGAAATATTGTGCGCGGCCTGTCATCCGTTGCGAACGTACAACCGAACTGTAGAGGAAGAATAACTTCGAACAACGAGTACAAATGCGTTTGATCCCTCTTGCACTGATCGGATTCGTTCGATCCTGAAACCTTAATTTTTATCTATGCTTTTCATCGTACAAATATAAGAATTAGTCTAGTATTAACAAGTTGCATGTATTACAACCTAGTAATGCTTCCCGTACGTTAGAGCATCCCGTATCCGAGCACTCTAAGTTCGCAGCATGAAATTCTACAAACTTTTGCACAAAACACGTTATTTTTAGTTTCCACATCTGGCCCATTACAAATGAAAATCACAGTGTTTCCGTAATTCTTTAAGAGAAAATTTCATGGAAACGAGCTGTGGGAGATCGACCAAATTTTAGTAGCAGCTTTAAGGAGTATATCGAAGCGAATTCCCAGCTGTACGGGAGAGCGCGGTTCAATTTGGACCAGCAACGTTCAAATTCGATCTAATTTACGATTCCTAGTCGATTAATAACGTTGCAAGTATTTTAGACGCTGCCTTGAAATTCAACAATTCTCACCCACGTTCCACGATTTCCAGACAAAGAATAAGTGGAAACGTTTATTCAAACTTCGCCCGCATCCGAAAAGTTAACCAACGTTTTCTCAGATATCCGCGATCGTGGACTTCTGCGCGAAGTTCGGACACGGAATGCCCCGTTGCGTTTGATTTCGACTCGAGAGTCAGTTTAACGCCGAGACTAGAACTGCAACGGCCGTTCGAACGGTACGCGAGGATTGACAGGAATATGTAAAAGAGAAACGGGTGCATTTGACGAAACCCAACAAAATGGCGGACCGAAAACGTTTCGTGTTTTTCCAGCAACAGGGACGATCGAGTCTCCCGGTACAGACGATTGAAACACGGCGAACAGTCTCTTACAAGTAGAACAAACGTGTCCAGTGAATCTCAAAAAAAGATGAACGAAAAAAAATAGAAATAAAAGAGTAACTACAACAGGTTGTTGTCGAATTCCCCGTGGCAGGGGTGGAAAGAAATCTTGACAGCGTTCGAGGGGGGAGGTAACAATCTGTGCAGTTTTACGTACAACAGAACCCACTGTTGTTTGAAATCCTCGAAACGGTGTCTTTCGCGAACTGGCACACCCCGAACTCGCTGATTTTCATTATCCTGCGACGCTGTATGTCCTTTGTGGCTCCGATACCACGCGGACCACCGCACGTGCTCGTGCTTCTATTTTATTTTACTCGGTTCGGTAAACGTCCACCCCGGCACAAAAGAACGCGTTGACCTCCGTGCGTGAAACAATCGTCCGTTTCGGGATCACTGGTCCTATCAAACATGATCGCCCCACACCGTCACCGTTTTTGCTCGGTCCACCGATGCCAGATAGGTGCCTTGAGGATGCCAGGACACTGCTGTCACCACCGCCCTGCAACATACCATGCAACAGATCAATTAGGGTTCCCCGATTTTCGATGAATCGGTGTCACACGATTCGAATCAGACGTATGTCTTTTTCAGCAACAGGGAAAATCAGATTTTCTGTGTAATCATTTCACGGCTTTCACTGTAGTCATCACAAAATTAACCCTTTACACTCGAGTGGCGATTCTACGGCACCGCTGAAAATTGTTATATCGCGTTTTAAAATCACTCTTACATTATCAAATTTATTTATATTCAAAAAGCTGCTAAAACAAGACTGAATCTCATATGCATAAAATGGTCTAAATCATATAAAATGGAAATATTGTAGATCCAGGAAACTATCTTGAATTCAGAAATAAAACAGCTTAGAGTACAAAGGGTTAATTCGATGAATTCTATAATATTGGTAAAAATAATGTTAAAAACTAATCGATGTCTTTCCTAGACAATTGTCTTAAAAATGTATATATTGTACGACATTTAGTAATTTTTTGGATGCATGTACAGCATCTCCGAGTAACAGCCTCTGCACATAAATTCTTCCATACGATTTTATTTAGTAAATGAATGTCAATGGCAAAGATCCCGATCAAAGTACTGTAAAATCGTGACACAAAATCGTAGATTAACTTTTGAGATGTAATTGTAAAGAGGAGACATCCCTCTTTAAGATCGGATCGAAACGAATTTGGAAAAAGATTTGTTAAATTCCGTGGAGTAATTTGAATTTGCAGAATTCAGTTCCCCATTCTGTGTTGTAATAAAAAAAAGGAGTCATTAAAGAAAAAAAATTGAGTTCAAGGGCGCGGAAGCACAGATTTTCCGCCTCTAAAACGAGCACAAACGTTTAATTAATTTCGTGGAGTAGCGTATAAAACGAATCGGTTGTTCCGCAAACTCGAGCAGCCCCGGAAGTTTTGCATTTCTTTGGAGCGGCGCTATAAAACGAGGTAACCGCGGCATCGCAGCGTACGAAGTTCGGAAACGATTACTCCCATGAATAGAGAGATATCAAAGAACTGATAGTGACCGGAGCCGCCGGTTATGCGGGCATCTGCGACGGGTGCCGAATCGTTCTCGCTAAAGATTCCATTTGAATGTCGAAACACACAGAGCGGCACGTAATTTTCTGGTCCAAGCGGCTTCGCTTGTGTAGCAAAAGGTCTATAAAACCTGAATTCCCGGGGGGTGATTCACAGGGTTCCGTGGAATCGTAAAAGGGTGTTCCTGCGCGAGGACAAACGCGCTGAAATGACGTACCTTTCGAGAGTCCCGAGTAAAACTTCGCGGAGAGATCGCGCCCCGACGAAACGCACATAAACCAGCTGTATATTTTCGAATACTATAAAGGTCAAGTACAACCGGCGAGCGAACGATGTGCTAAAGAAAAATTAGATTCATAAAAATATGATTAAAAAGTTTATGCGGTGCTTGCCCTCCCGCCCCCTCTCGTAAAGGATCAAGTCTCTATTGGAGACGGTTCTCGACGGGCGCATCTAAAATTGCTTTTAATATAGCGGGGCCCTTATCGTTTCGACACACAGTCTCTTCCCATTTGTAGAAAGATGAAGAATCCTCCCAAAGTCCAGGCATATTGTTAGCTATGCGCATACACGATTGCACACTTTAATAAATATACATATGCTTGCCCAATGAAACCCCTCGCGAGCTGCGCTCTCCGGCGGATTCTTTGTTTATCGTCGGGACTGAATCTTCCCGACAAGTCGCGTCGGCCACTGCAGAAATTTATCTGCCTAATCAACCAATCTGCAAATCGGCGAGCGAACGTCGGCATGCGATGAAAATTCATGGGTTTCATTCGCGACTTCTTCGTGATTCACTGTTTAACATTTCACCCGTTCGGGATAGCGTTGCCCGCTGTTTATAGGAAATTATTGTATTATCGTATTATTGTATAGTATTATAAATTATTATATAGTATTATATAGTATAGCATTATTATATGGTATTATAAATTATTGTATTATTATATAGCTATTGCATTTTAGAAGATGTACGAACACTTTTATGGGCCACTGTACGTACTGTCTATTTTCGAAAGATAAAGGAATTGTGACTATGCTGGGGATTCTATCTTAGGATAGAAGTAGAACACAAAATATAAATAGGAATATGCGTCGCGTCGCACTTATTTTTCAGTTTACGCTGCGAATTTTTATACAGCATAAAGATATTCCAAAACGATTGTAAGAAATGGAAATCAAATAAAAATAAGTTGTTTCGTTTAATAACTTCAATTATTTTAAAGTAGTGTAATCATTTTATAAAACTCTTCTAATGTCTACAAAATGTTGCTGGTCTTATTCGCGTATTTTCACATCGAATGCATCCTTCTGCAGGTTATACTTGCCAAACAATTATAGCTACGCTTGTTATAGGGATACCAGCCCGCCAAATTTCGTTAAAACCGATGTGAGCCATGTCTGACGCACCCCTTGTAAGATCGAGAAACCGTAACTCACGGACAGGGATGATATCTCTTGCGGCCAGTGGCGCAATTAAACGGTCAAAACATCGGTTCGATCGGTTCTTCTTTCTGCTCGGTGCATCGTTCTCGCCTTAAATCTCAACACGTTCGTGTTATCGGTGATGGAAAAAAGAAAGCGATGCGATGAATAGGACGCGACGCAATGAAAGGAAAAGCGAAACAAAGAGAGGGGCCGGGAGGGAACGCGGGAAAAGTAACGGTCGGGGAAATACCGTTCGAAAAAGCTTATTTCCAGGCTCCTTTGGCAAAAACGGATAGGTCTCCTTTATCACCGTCGCAATATACACCGGGAGCTGCGCGTAGGTAGTCGGTTGCTCGCGAAGGTATCCCCCGGATACGAGGCGGGACACTTTGAAAAATATGGTCGTTGTCATGGTTGGTAGCGATGCCTGTGGCGGCGACAGCGGTCGTCGTTCTCGACGGGCGGTCGTCGCGACGCGCGTTCCCGCTGAATACTTTTTCTCTCCCCCTGTTGTTGTTCCATCCTATATAAACCCGGCTTTTTGTCAGAAACAAAGTTTACGTACTCGCCGGCATGTCGGTCACTCGTCGTCGTCGTTCTCGTTCTCGTTCACGTTCTCGGTCTCGGTCTCATCCTCGTCTATGCAGCCAGACCAGCCTTCGGCTGGTTGCTCCTTTTTCCCACTCATTTATCGCTTGAACTGTTTGCTTTGTACCCGGCGCCGCGGCGATCGAAGTTTCGTCAACATTTTATCCAGATTTCCACAGCGGTGTTCTGCTCATCTAATTATCCGCAGGCTCCGATATATCCCCCGCGAACACACGTTTCCCCCGCGCACTCGAGGACCTTTTTCTAACACGATATTTATCGGCTCTACCGCAGACGATTCCTTCTTTCGACACTCCACCGCCGGTATTTGTCTTCCCGGCGTGGGCAAATGTGTGTGAAACGTGTGTACACATTCCTGATAGGATATTCTGTGTACACTGGATGTATTATTGTTCGGGAAGGCCCCTCGACAGATCACAAGGAATGCGAATATCTCAAAAATGGCTGGCCGGCCGTTTTTTGCGCACCCGTGGTGTGCCGTTTAACGGGAAACTTTTGCAATAAATCTTGAAAACAGTTTCTGATTCAATTGTTAAAATTTTATTAAAGTATGGAAAAGAATGATTTTTCGCGGACCTAATATTTATGCTTCGATAGTTTACCTTTATCTCGAGTTGCTTAGTAGTTGATTCTGTTTAAACATTAGACAGTAAGATAGACAAGAGAGTACCAGAAGGTTTCATTAGCGAAAGAAATTCTTGTAATTCTTATTAAACAGCTAGAAATAATAAATGTATCGACAGAATATTTTCGATGTAACGATTCTTCAATAAATTCGTTCTTTAAAAATCACTTTGTATGTTCGACATTATTAATTACATCCTTTACGAAACGATATGACGAAATAGCCACGAGAATATTTAATAAAATCATCGGCAAGAAGAGTTCTCATAAATATTAAACATCGAAACGCAATCAATTTATTAACGAAGCTCGAAACATTCGTGCTCGAAAAATTACTCCATGTGTCTGATTCTACCGATTATTTTCACTAACAAATTAAATGGCAAAATAGCCAGTGGTGTGCTTGACCATACTTCTAACAAATAGAATTGTTGCAAATATTAAGAAGCGAGAAATAGTAAATTTATTACCGAAGGAAATTTGATTTAATAACTCATCGATCGATTTGTGCAAGTCTCTTGTTAATTATACCTCGTTGGTACTTCTCATAAACAATTTAAGGGATGAAATAATTTCTCGGGTACCGAATAGCATTATTGCAAAATAAATTATCGCGAATATTAAATAATTGGAAATAATCGCAGTTATCGATATTATCGATCGCCGTCGATCGCGCGATCGTCAATCGTCAA